GATGATAGTTTCTGCATGAGTAATGCCTGAAATCATAAACTTTGAAGGCTCATTTCTCATATATTGTTCTTTAAACAGCTGTATGTTTAAATGCTTGTAACTTCATAAGGAAATGTGTGATTTGAAAGATTTTTTTACAATTTTATAGCTATTATTTTACTCTCTAACACTGTATTAATAACTCAAAATCGATTTTTGCGACGAGTGACTGGTTTGGCTTGTCTTTGCCACAAATGCACAAAATTTATTTAACAAAGTAGTTAATTTGAGTTGTGTACAGGTATGGTGTAATTGGTTTGTAAATAATCAAATTTCTACTAGATTATTAAAAATATATAATCAATATGCAGTGTATCTGAAAAAAGGTCATGTGTGCTAAGTTTTAATCAGTCTACCATCTATCATTTTATCACAAAACAAAGTAGCATGGCTACAATGTTTACTTACTAATCAATTCATTTACCATACACTTTAATAATAACACAATGTTATTGTTCACAAAGTAATGACAAACACAATGTTATTTTTCACAAACTAATGACAATGTGCCCAAAATGTCTTAATCATAATGATCTGAGATTGCACTTTGCAAATCATTCATAAGAAAAAAAACACAAAAAAACAGGTTTCAATTGAGTATATTGTATGATGCAATAAAATCACAGAATTAATTTGGTTTTCAATCTAGTGTGCACTTTAAAGAATCCACTGGATCTTTCTGAAGAGTATGGGGTTACCCCAATACTACTATGGTTTATTTCAACCTGTGTCGTGTAATGATGTGACCAAGAAACTAGTATAAGTGCTCCTCCGTGGTTGCTAGAGTAAGTAGTCACAGACTATGTCCATATGCAATTTAGCACAATGGCACTGGGAGTTATGGCTTATTTTCCTATGGTATCTAATTAGGACATTTTTTGGGCTGGATTGAAGAGAATACTGGATGCTTATAGACAAATAAATCCTTCTGAGACTCATATATTTGTCAAGATCAAAAAGCAATTGATTGATTACTGGTATTACAATACCAGTATTAAGACAAATAGTACAAACATTTGTCTACTCTATCAAATTGCATCAAAAAAGCGTCACATAAAATTTGATGAAACATAGAGTTGAACACCTTCAACTTTTTTTTGATACAGTTTTATGACATGTGATATGATGTCATCGTACCCATATATGGGCACATCACATTTTTTTTGTCACATACAATTTGATAGTGTAGATAAACCTTAAGGCATTGTGCAATGTAATTTGAATAGAAAATCAAAACACTGAACAACAAATAGCACTACATGTATGAGTCATACTGTCAAGCTGCTACTAGTCGATCTGATGATAATAAAACGGACTTTACCCAGTCATTTCCATCAACATTTATACCCTGCTTCAAGCTCTCTCTGATTTTAGCAACATCACCAACCTTTGCAGCTTCAAGGAAAATGTGTTCTTTAGTGTTCATCGCATGAGCACAAATTCCTGTTTAATTTAAAAAACAAAGTAACACAAAGATGTGAATACTAACAAGATAAATTTGTCATTATTCATTGGTGGATTTAATATCATGTGACTTTTAATGGAAAACTAATAAGCAATTAATAGAACTGTGTATGGTACACTATAGGAAAATTATTATACGAAGACTAGATTCAATGCTTAAAAAAATGTATAATAATTTTCCTCTAGTCTATAATGCATGCAGCTCTACTAATTCCTTTATATTAGTCAATCGCCATCTTTTAATGTTAGTTTTGATAATCAACTGTTGCAGCAGTCATCAGTTGCTGTAGTGATATAATCAGTATACTGCGTGCATATTTACATTTAGCTGTGTGTAAGCTGATTTGTGATCCTGCAGTACGCATTACTCACAGAGCTAGCAACGTTACATATCAGCAGTACAGTACGATGAAGAACTATTGTATTGTGTTAGAAAAACTTGTTTGTATGCTATTTTGATATTGTCAAAAGAAATAAACATTTCTTAAAGCATTTGAGAGAGAATACAGTAGTTACTTTTTGGTCAGTGCAGACAGGTAAAAACGATTTCAAAATTAGGCTAGGCTACGGCTTAGGAGGAGGCCTCGACGGCTGCCTCCTGGCTGGCTGTAGATCTACATCTAATTTTGTTCCTTGAGTCTTTAAAACAGGTCTAGAATATTCCTATTAAATGTTCAGTATGTTTAGTTTATCAGGTTCCAATGATTCAAGGAATTCCTTAATTGTTCATACTTATTATTGAATTTGAAGTAACTTTCTCCGGGTTCTAATTAACGTTGTTTACAAAATTAATTTTCAATCAATTTTCATCGTGGTGCGCAATATCTTTGCGGTGACGAAAAAATGAAATATTTTATTTGCACATGAACCTAAAAAAATCAAACCAAACATACACTATGTAAAAAAATTATTGGGAGTTGCAGTGATGATGTCTTGATTGACTTATAATCCATTTTATTGACTTGCATCTTTATTCATGTGATTCAGTTCCATCCATTTCCATTATTTTTGTTGGATTAATTTTATCCTCTGAGTCATTTTCTCTGTTTAACCTATATTATTTCTTTGTAAAGCGCATAGGTCAAATGTGCAATATTATTATTATTTGCTTGCACACCTCAAGCTAATACATTTTTCATTTGTTAAAATAAATGGACTGTTCTATATCATTCATGAAAATATTCTTTTCACATCACCCATAATATTCAATACTGGTATTTGAATGGTAGGGCCTAGAGATCATAGGAAATATCAACATCAACGAATAGTAACAAATTTCATCTTTCTTTGTTATTTTTTATCATCATCTTTCTTTGCAGTTATACAATAATCAATAGTAGAAACACAGTAAATATCAATAATAACAATATTAAATTAAAATCCTGTAAGTAATTAGAGTAATGTAATGATTAAAATTGTATAATACAGTATAATAACATAACAGTTTCAATATATAAAATAAAATCTGATACTTCAGATCAACATTCTAATTTCATGGAACCTTTGGGAATAAACAACTGAAATAAGATTAAGGATGAAAAAAACCCACAAGAATTAATTAAATCTGTAACATGATAGACAGCTATTGGTTCTATTAACAAAAATGCTATTGTTGTGCAGATTTACTTAAAGCATAACAGCATAGCATGATAAAGGTTAGTTTAGTGTAATAAAATAGATTTCAAAAAATTTGACATTACATCATGTTTTGGCTATTATCTCTGAAACAGGATTTGCAGCAAGTGACTGGTTTGGTTTGTCTTTGCCACAATTGCTTAAATCATCAAAAGATTTAAACTGTTATCAATAGTATTTTATAGTCGAAAAGTAAAATTTGATTCTCAGTTTGCCAGCTTCAGGTAAAGTATCTTCTTCAGTATCCAACATATGAGAACAAAATCCCTGTTTAAAATATTCAAAGTTTATGAACAATTTAAAAAACAAATTAACACAAAGATGTGAATAAAACAAGACAAACTTGATTTGATTGAATAAATATCATGTTTGCGGATACCATTTAGTTGAAAACTAATCCATTTTCTTGATTTGAATCTTCCTTTATGTGATTTAGTTCCATCCATGTTCATTCATTTTTGTTAATTCATTTTTATTTGTTTGAAAATGGACTGTTTCATCATAGAGTACAATTTAAAAATATTTGTTTCATTTCACTCATTAAAATAAATATTATTCAATATTGGATATTGCAGAGATTGTAGGAAATATCGACATCATTTTTATCAGACAGAGTTGACCGGAAGTCATAGTCGTCAATTTTACCAGTAAAAATAACCAACTAACCGGTAAAAAGTTTGTGTTTGGATAATAAAAAAAAAACAACTGACTACCTATGTAGTCTAGGCTGGCCTTCTTTCAATAAATGAACATCATTCCAGTCTAAGTCTAGGCCATGAGTGAGTGTTGTTTTTTCAAGTCATTAAACCCCACTCAAAAGGGGTAAAACGCCTCACACTGCGCGCAAAGCTGAATTCTTATGGACAAATTTACCAGAAAATTTGTTTCAATTGGGAGAACACTGCATCATCATTTTTCTTTGCAGTTATACAATAATCAATAGTAATACAAACAGTAATATCAATAATAACAATAATTAAAATCCTTGTAAGTAATTAGAGTAATGTAATGAGAATATAGTAATAATACATTAATATTAAATTAATAATTTAAATTATATAGTTGTACACCTATACAGTATAAAAGACAGTTTCAATATATAAAGTAGTAAAACTTCAAACCAACATTTTAATTTCATGGAACCTTTGTGAATAAAGATTAAGAATGAAAAACCCACAGGAAGTAATCTTTCATATGATCAGCTATGTTCCGGAACCAAATTACTAGTGCAGTACATCTTGCTTATTACATGGATATGCAAATTGCTAATATCAATAGTATTTTATAGTCTAAACAGTGAAATTTGAATCTCAGTTGTGGATTTATTTTATGAATAATCCGTAGATTATTAACAGTTAATATTCCCATGAGATGAAATGGTAAAACAATCATTGTTGGTTCTGAAATGTTGACATTTAACCTCAAAATTCTGAAAAGGTTGCAATGAGATTCTTCTGGAGAAGAATCTAAATTTTTAAGTTAATAAAAATCTGTTAAAATGAACACCAATGTTGTTCTGAGAATATTTAGTTTATTTAATTTTCATTCAACAGTCAACAAAGAATAAATTAATCTTATGGAGTGCACTATAAGGCTCTAACATAAGCAATAGGAGTTTACTGACACAAATAAAATGTAGAAGTGTTAAGAAAGATATAAAATGCAATAGACCGGACAGAGAGGCCTGGTTTATTAATGTGCAAAGATAGTTGAGATGGTTCTGCAGATTTGACGTTGGTTGCGGCGCATCTGCCTTAATCGCTTGGCCATTCAACTCGCCAGATGTGAAAATAGTGCCAGTCATTTTCAACTCATGACGGTGAGTGGCAACTGCTTCTGGCATCTTGTTATTTACATATTTCCTTCATATGATATGAATAAAATTATGTAATATTATGCTAATATTACATAATATTACATCATCTCATAATTGTAATTGGCCTTGACAGCCTGAGAGAGAAAAGCACTAAAAAGCTAAAAATAAATAGTGTATTGGTTTACGATGATTATATTCATGACGTAATATTCATAAACCATAACATACCCTGTAATACAGTAGAATCCATTGGGGACACCTTCAGAACCAAACAAAGTGTCCACTGAATAGGGTTTGACTGTTACTAGTGTTAGATATAAAAGATATTCTTTCCCTCATTTTGTGAGCAAAAGTGTCCACTTAATAGGGTGTTCCGTTAATACGGGTGTCTCACAAGAGGGGTTCTACTGGTACTGTATTAAGGTTCAGGAATATTACAGAATATGTAATGTATGATGTTTGTCATTATAGGCCTTGGGAACTTGAGGATGAAGGGCACTAAAAGCAATATCCAATCTGCAAAGCCCTTTTAACTTTACTGTCAAACTTACCTAATTTTTTATTTAATATAATTCAAAATATATTGCCTTTACATTAGTCTACAGTAGGATTACCACATCTTAAGTACCAATTCCTTTCTCCACACAACATACCATTATTCCAAAACATAAAGGAAGTTAATTCGTCACTAAGATAATACTAATAGAAGGAAATAATATTTGTTCATGCATATGATCATTATGTATGGTACACAAGACAACAGATCCTATTGCCCAGCTAAGCATGAGGAAAATATATTATCTTATAAAAACACGGGGCAAAATTTACTTTTTAGTTAAGATAATTTTCTTCCTTTTTACTGTAAAACTCCCAATAAGAAGTTATTTTTAGCTTTAAGACCGGTACTGTTTGCCAAAATATGGGAAACCCAAAATAATTTAATAAAAATTCAGTGCTATATAAAGATTAAAAAGTTATTAATGGAGAGATTAATGCATGTGTTTTAATATAATTATTTAAGCTTGCTATTTCTATGAGCGTGTGTTGTCTTGTTTCTGTTTGGAGAACCTCTCGATAGTAATTAAGATTACTTTATGTTATCCTCAGGCTGTGTCTTTGTTTATTGTATTTTACATCACCTGACAATAATAAATGAAATGAAAAATTAAATTTAATTACAATTTTAATATCCTAAACAAATTGACAGCCAATTTGAGATTCTCACTCCAACAAGCAAGGAAATCACTTGGATACAAACCAATCTAGCAAATTAAATGTTTACATATTTACTAAATAAGTGTACTATTAATTAATTGTCAAACTAGCTATAAGCGCCACGCACAGCAAAATACAATTATATGTGTTAAGATAGCTAAAGTGACTTCTCCCAACTCTTAGAACTCCTGTTAATTTTGGTCAGTGTGAGAGTCAGCAAATTTAAACATTTTACACACTGGAATAATCACAAGAACAGGAAATGTATTCTCGGAGGAAAAAATTGTTCGATATGTTGCAGAATTGATTTTCCTAAGCGGGACACAAAGAGGATGTTTGACGAAAAAACTAGGGAACAGTATATGAGATACAGATTTTTTAGTATTTAAAACAGGGGAAATAGGGGCGTAACCAACCCTTTCTTCCACATTTTTCTCCCAGTTTTTAAATATTAAAAAATATGTATCTCATTAATTTTTTTTTCCTCTTGGACCTGGCTTTAAATAACGTGGTTGTTAAGCATTTGGATGCTGCAATTAACTGCAAAGAAATAAATACAAGGAACCATATGTAATATATTTCCATATTATACTTAATGTACACGAGACAATAAAACATTAGCATCACCGGACAACAACCTCTGAAAGCTCATCTGTTTTCTAAGTACTTGATGAATGTTTAGTTGTTACTGTATCAAGTGTTATACTTCATGATTATTTCACAGTACATCTCCCATATCATTGTTTTTTTAATCAATCAATTAAACTCGGATATCGACATCGTCAGAATTGGGATCCGCAATACTGTAATGACTGTAAAATGTGAACGTGAGGTATTTGTGCCATCAGTAATTGAAGCTTTCCAATTAATGACAGTGAATCAACAGCCTTCTCAATATCAATGCATTTTCATAAACTGAAGTAAACTCTAAGTCAAAATAATACCTATCTGTACATTATGGTAAAATACCAAAATAAATTAATAATAATAATAATAATTATTATTATTATAATCAATTACCGTACTCGCTCAAATAAGCGCCCCGTTTGAGTAAGCGCCCCTCTTAAATAGCCGCCCCTCCTAACGTGAAAATTTCCTTAAGCGCCCCGTTTGAATAAGCGCCCACTTCTAATAATTTTCATAAGATTTTCTTTTTAGCAAGTCAATAATCCAATCAATCCTGGGACTGTGGTTGTTGGCATGATTTGAGCTGCAGAGTGGAAACACATTCTTCATAGGTCAATATCAAAATGAGGATATTTCCCTTGGACTGATGAGAGCTCCGATCCCTGGACAGACAGTATATTTCCAACTTTACTCTTTTTACATATGTCTATGCCTAGTCCTACTCCTCTTTTTCTTTTTCCGACCTATAGCACATTCTCATCTAAGTTTTCAATAGAAAATACAATGGTCCTGCCATCCTGCTAATCATAATCGGCCGATGGCCAACAAGCTAACCTCTACCCACCACCACTAATTGCTTCTGCTATTTTGCTATTATGATATTCACGCATTCTTGTCATGAGCCATGTTCTCTGGATGATTAGGCTATCTTTTCTGCCTAAGCACCATTCGTAATGTCCTTAAATAATCTTTTTTCATTCAAAATGTGCCTCTTCAATTTAATAATTTCCCATAAGAACCCCTCGATTTTAATCTATTTCCATAAGCGCCCCCTCAATTTCCACTCTGTTTTCATAAGCGCCCCGTTCGAATAAGCGCCCCATTTTAATAAACGCCCCTGGGAAAGTGCAAAAAATATTTTAAGCGCCCGGGCGCTTGTTCGCGCGAGTACGGTAATAATCAAATAATTAAAGCAGTAACAATGATACTAGCAGGCATGCATCAGGTATATTAAGCCACCCCCACCCCCTCCCCCTCACATCCTTCACCCTGAAAGCAAAATCTGGCTGGTTTTGAAGGTGAACACCAGGGAAATCCCCTTTTCACCAAAAAAATATGATAGTTTTTCCAACTGACCACAAGTCCTTGAGTGTGAATGATGGCCAAAAAAGGCAACTTTTAAAAATACATAGGCCTAGGCTATCTCATCCCATTTTTGACCACATTGAAAAAATATATATACACTAAACATTTAAAATCAGATGCATGAGTTAGATGTTAGTAGAGTAGATGTCGTGGGATAATTAATGGCCGTAGCGCGATGAACCATGGCAACTACCTTGGTCCAAGGAGGTATTAAATAAATTAATATTTAATACCTCCTTGCTTGGTCGAAGAACATCACTCGCTCGTCGAGTCAATCCTGGCACCTTCCACCGCATATCGTTGTTTTGATAAGGTGGTGTGTTTTGAGGCCTAATAGGTACGTATGTAACTGAAGCATAATAATAATAACATTCTTAGTAATGGACACTTCCGACACTTAAATAATATTACATTATTTTGATGACCAAATAAAACGACCTACCTTTTCGTCATCACAAAGCAGCGGTCCGACAATCACTCATTTATGTTCGTCTCATCTGGGCTTCGTCTTCGTAACCTTGCGGCGTATCGTTTTGTCGTGACTTCAAAGAAAAAAAAAACGCCCTCTCTGAAGTACCGCTGTACTTAACTTTTTAAAATACTGTAACTATGGAGATTAAGTCTTTGAAATCGTATTACTACTATTACAGTACTCCAGAAATATTACGTTTTCAGGGGCGGATCCACAGATGTCTGAAAAAGGGGGAGGGGGGTGGGGTGGCACTACCCTAGGAGATCCGGGGTAATTTTGTTCTTTTTATTTCTTTCTTTCTTTTTTTTCTTTTTTTTAATTTTCCCAATCCGCCCTTGTTTTCTGATTCTGATTCTGAGAGGATTAGCTATCTCACACAGCAGATCTGTTCTCTCATGTCACTGAGTGCCTTATTATTATTATTATAGTAAAGTTAGTTTACCACTAGGCCTATATTCTGGTACCTCCATTCTAGTCAAAACAAAAATTAGAGGGCAGAATACCAATTAGCAATAGATTGTTTACACATGGAGGAATTAGTTTAATTGTATGCTGTGTTCTTGAGTAAACCAGAAACATATTTGCCGCCCTCTGTTGATATAATAATGGCATCGAGATCAACATACCGTGTAAACAAAAATGTAATGAGATTGGGGAAATAACTGACAATAATTTTCAATGACAATCGACATATACGAGAATATATTATTTTACCACTTTCAGACGATATAAAAAAGTTTTTTTCTTAAAATTACAATTAAAAAAATAAGCTGTATTTCTGTATGAATGAAACATTTAAGTATAAACATTCATTTTGATCATCAATATGGAACAATATGAATTTGGACATCTTTATTGTTTTTAGAAATAGGTTACGGTATGTACAGTAGGCCCTCATTTCAATATGGCACCATAATAGTGAAATGGGGGGAGGCAAAGCAAGGTTAAATGAATGATTTAGAGGGGGCGTAAGGGTAGGGGATCATCGGAAACAGCCGAGGACCATAACCTGATGTAAGGGATGGGGAGAGTTTCCCAAATCTTTATAGATACAAATTTAATGATTTTGATAATGTAGGCCTTTATTGTAAGTGTGGAAATATGATAAGTGCACTGTTCATGAATTTCAATAGAATCAATATGTTCTCAAGTAGAAATCACGGTCGAAGAAGATACCGTGGGCGGGTTTACTTCCGTTTTCACTTTATAAAAGTGTGTTTAATTAACTTGGTGGGTAGGCTTACGTGGTCACGATATTGTGTAAATTTAATTGTTATTGATATTGCACCCGAAACCTTGTTATTCTTGGCTTGACCCTTATTTCGATAGTCCAGATTGGTCCAGCCCCGTGGATATTGTTGCCAAGGACCGCAAAATGAGCGACAGCGTATAAAATACGTATACCATGTGTGTTTGTAGGGGGAGGGGTGCGTGCACGTACTCCTTGCCCTCTTCTGCTCAGTCAGTTGTTAAGGTTGATTGCCACTCTGAAAAAGTCCGTTTGGTCGTATATTTTCCCGTCAATTTTCTTTTTTTTAATTTGTATCTTGCTTTGTTTTTGTAGCTCCGATGATGAGATTTAGAAACACTCGGCTGATTGATTATTCTGTTTTGTTTGTTCGGCCGTTAGGGCCAATATACGCTTCTGCCTCTATTATACTGCCCTCGTCGGCACGGGTGGCGCCAGGATTTGTCCGACAGGGGGGGGGGGGGGGGCGAGGTCCCGATGCCCCCGACGAGGAGTCAGGTTTCCCCGACGAAAGGAAAGTGGGCGTGGTCGGGCTTCGATTAAAGGTTACGAAAGTCGTCCAGGCCCGAAAATTTTGAGAATTTAGGGGTTTCAAAGGCTTATTTAATCGATGTTAGAGTCTACTAATATGTAGAATATACATATAATTTGTTTTTTCTCCCCGACGAAGTGTGCTTTTTCTCCCCGACGGGGGGGGGGGGGGGCTGTCTGGGTGAATGAATCCATCGGTCAGCCGGCCGACGAAATGTCCGGTTTCAAATAAAGCACATGTAGGATTGTCTCCTGTGGTGTACTGCCTATTCACCACTACAATGACTCCATACTGGCCGTTTTCGGCTTTCGTGAAAGAAAGAACGTGGTTAGGTGAAAGGGTAATAGGCCTATATCCCGACCGATGTTCCTATGCAGCCATTTTGGTAAAATATTATACTTTTATGTAATGATGTAATTAAAAATAGAAACAAACGAAACGTATCCAGGATTTTTTTTTAAAGAGATTACAAAATATATGGTTGGTTTTTTTTTGTTTTTTTTTTTTAAATTTTTAATGGTGTTTGAAAATTCAAATTTGCTTATTTACAAACTTTCGACGAATTGGATGACGTCAGTATCACAGACGTACGGACGCACATGCATGGACGATTGCAAAGGTTCATATTGCTTTACAGCATAGGGACCAAACACAGAGGTGGCTCGCAGCGAGATAAGGCGAGAACCATGTTTTTCTTTTTAGATTGGCCTTATCACTAAAGTTAAATCTAAGGCTTTAGTGAGTAGTTTTATTCATTTTGTGTAATCCGGATTCGCAAGAATTGAACCCGCAGGAGGCCTAATCCTCGGATAAAAACTCGTGAATCGTAACCAACAAGGCTTATACGATTCGCTTCTGCGCACATGCGCAACTCAAAATTTCGTAATTATATTGTCGTTATGAAACATGTCTACAATTAACAGTACGAAACACAAAAGACATACATATCAGGCGGCCTTCAACCAATACTCTCCAAACAAAACGTGCGATGTCTGACGTTATTGAACAGTTAACCGAAAACTGTGTTTATGATATAATAAATGCATGTCATAATATTTTGTCTAGCAATACAACGGGGAGCGAGAAACACAATATTTACTAGTTAACTTCCGATTGCGTTGTGAAGTGCGACAGACCTCCATGAACAGACTGCACAGTAGTTTTGATATTTGACGCGTCACGTAACGACTTAACGCGTCATAAACGAATGTCTGTAGCATTATAATGGATGAAGGCAAGTGGAAAATTGAGCTGAAGGCCCAGATCAGAGATAGCTGTTTTCTTCTCGACGGCGACAGCTTAGGTTCGAGGGAATTTAAAGGATAAAACACTGGAACTTTGTATAATTTAACGTGGATATTGCCGCGGAGTAGGAACTCAAAGCTATGATCGGGTACTGTAACTAAGCTAGCTGTGGTGTTGAATTTTAGTAAACACAGGTATGGCTATTTCTAAGTGAATCGATACCAAACGAAAATCTGATCCGGGTAGTACCAGTACATGGTAAACATTGTATTAATCCGGAATAGTTACTAAACTATTCATAGAAAAATCTTGAAAAAACACACAGTATTGATTGAACTTAAATATCTAAAAAATGGCGACTGCGGCTGAAAATAAATCCGTCCCAATGACAACAGCACTAGCTGCGGATACGGCCGACATTGTCTTTACGGAATCGCCTTATGGAGAACCTCTTCGAAAGTTTAATGTGACTACAGAATTTCCAAAACCATTTAAGCGGCCGAATAAGCGACGCAGTCGTGACGGGAATAGATATCGCACCCAACCCGTAACGTTTGACGAAATTAAGGAAGTCGACGAAGAGATAGTTGCAGGAGAAAAACAACATGACGCCTCGTGGCTCAGGGGAAGGAAAATGGAAAAATTGAAGGAGGCAGACGACGGGAACTCAAAATATGTTAAATCAGCATCCATTGACAACCCGCTTAAATAATTTTGACGATTATTGTTACTCTGAGTACGAATAGGTAGGGAGCTACCTATTTCGCCTGTTGTAGCTTTGTCAGTAATGGTTAAACTCCAGGTTTATTAGGTTATGCAAATGTATGATACAAAACTCATAATTTGCTTTAATCAAGAGCTGTTATTCTCCTGGCAGTAGCCATGGATACTATAGAATTCGCCAAGCATCAATATCCCATTTACATTTGGTTGGGGAGAATTTAGTCGGCATTACGCCATACGGCTAACGTCGGATACAATATGTGGGAAAAAAAGCGTAGGCCGAATGTTCGTTTTAGACTGAGCCACAAACCGTTCATCAATATTCAAGTAATCATATGCATGGCATGATGGATTATGAACGATATATCAAATACCATCTGGTGGTGTAGATGATATTGCCAAATATCTGTTTGACTCGGAATAGCATACCGTACCGTACGACCTAAATAACCTATCATCGACAAAATAAATTACAATAGGGCTATGACAGATACTATCTGATCAGCTTCACAAGTTTTTCCCTTAAGGTAATCATACGAGTATGTACATTACTTCCATTTGGGATTGTTATCCTTAAATTTGAAAAATGATCATTTTGCGCAATGTCCCACCAGTGCGATGTAATATATTTTTGTAAGAATTTTTTTGTAATCATCTAGGGCCTATTCGCAATTAACAAAAATGAAATGTTTAAAGTCAGGCTCCGGAGGAAAAAAAATTGTTAATATGTTGTAGAACTGATTTTTCCTAGACAGAAAAAAGTAGTTTGATCAAAAACTGAGCAACGGTGAATGAGATACAGATTTTTGAATTTTTAAAAACTGGGGGGGGGGGGGCGTGGTGTAAAAATGGGCGGTCACGCCCCCTTTCCTCCCAGTTTTTAAATATTCAAAAATCTGTATCTCATTCACCGTTCCCCAGTTTTTCGTCAAAAAACTTTTTTTTTGTCTTAGAAAAATCGGTTCTACAACATATCAATTTTATTTCCTCCGGAGTCTGACTTTAACATAAATTAACTGGTTGTAGATGTCTGTAGTATTATAAGCTCCACAATAGGTACAGAGATAAGTCTACATGAATTCTTTTTTGTTGGGTGAACTAAATGTATAAGTGCAACGGTGACATTTTGTTATGGTGCCAGTAATGTGCCACATGTGCGGTTTTCATTTGTATACAAACACGAACAGTAAGTGTGTATCGATTGAAAACGTTCAATAAACGAGTCAGTGATACTAAATTAGCGGAGAATCATTCTCGTTAGCACCTACGGCTCTTAGTTCTCTGTATGACCATGGAGGACTGGTATGACTATTGCAGTACCAGCACGATTAATTTTTGTACGCATGCGCGTCCTGTGCGAATACGCAAGAAATATATGCCCTATCCGTTGTTTTTCTTAATTTTTTGTGTCTACATGTTTTGATATGGAGGAATAATTCACTGAATTAGGATGCTACATTACCATTAAATGTTGCTAATATTCGCCACAATTTTATTTTGTTATACATGAATACATTATTTTGAAGAGTTATTTCATTGGGCAATACATCGGTGACGTCATAATGATATATTGTTCAATAAAGTGAAAAGTAAAATTGATTGGATTGTTGCTATGAAGTGGATGAACCCTCTTAAAAAAGGCAATAATTTAGCGTAGATATATACGTGGATTGGGTTAGCACCTAATCGAAATGCAATACATTGCCGGTGGAGTTTATACCATACTGCTTTAGTATATATAATAAATCAGACTAAGGATGACTGTCCAGAACACATGTATGAAACAAGATATGACGATGCAATTCCAAAGGCTGCATAAAGAAACTCATTCTCACGATTCTAGCGGTTGCAAATAAACATTGATTACTTCCTCAATAATTGTTTTAATTGTGTTTAACCCGCCTTGAGTTCCGGGCCGGAAAAGAGCTTGTAACTATAACTGTAATATTTTGTCAGTTGCTTTAATAATATTATGTTCTTAAGGTCGGTTCACACTATCAAATTTTAGACCTAGGCCTATGTGAAAAATGCGTGATTTGCCCATATATGGACATGAAGTCATACCACCACACCCATATTTGGACATATCACAGGTATTTGTCACTTGACAATGTGGACACATACTTAAAGGCAAACACTTTGAAGGACAATTTTCAAGAAATGACCGTTTTATCAATTATGATCCCCATCTGAAATCAGATACCAGTAGCTGCGCTATTCGTCTGAAATCTGGAGGAGGGGAGGGGGGAGGGAAGTGAGAGGAAAAGTAGGGCCACACGCTGCAATTGTCACTCTTGACTCTAGCTTGTATGTTACAAGCGGCCCCATAAGGTTTTAAAAGAAGCGAGTCCAACTGACAGTGTCTTAATAATAAGCGATTGATATGGTTTTTAATTTGGGGGGGGGGGAGGACAAGCTAGGGAGGGACGCAAGAAAATTATTTGGTGGAAAATCCCCCTTGATATGCCTAATAAATAATACGATTTATAAAGCGCACAAATCCACTGCAGTAGTGCTCAAAGCACTTGACCCCCGTAGCGCCACCACTGACCAGGACGGTAGGCCTATATGAAATAGAAGAGGACATCGCATCTTTTTCACCCCACCACCACCCCCCCCCTCCATTTATTGTAAGTCTACATTGCACACATTTTGGTCCAGAATAATAGCATAAGACAATGACGGGGAGCCAGATGTGGATGGGGGGACACACGTCGGAGAATAAAAGCCAATCATTTTGACGGAGAACACTAGGCCTACTTTGAAAAAAAAACATTTACATTCTGAGAGTGCCATTTCGGAAAATCTAGATGCTTCTTAAAAAATGCTCCAACAAGGTTGCGGCTGAGGTCAATGATTGTAAATTTGTATAACGCATAATATAACATTAATAAGAATGATTTCAGACGGCGCTTAAAGAGGTGGATGTTGACTCCCTGTCGGAGACTTGACCCCAGCTGAGACCTTGCACCTTTCGTCTGTGAATATGGCATCATACTTTTTTCTATATACTGTATAGGCCTTCTGTGTAACGAAAACTTTCGGTTTAAAAAGTCAATTTCACGGAATATTCTGTTTAAGTTTGTAATCTTCTTATTGCTCAATGCTATGTCATAGACATTCGTTGAACTAGACCGTATATGACAATAGGCCTAAGTTTGCATGTAGGGAATGCAACAGTGCATCCGTGCGTAATACAATCAGCGAGGCGTGATGCGTAAATTATTGCTATTATCTATTTTAAATACCAGCCATATTATTATAATTGCTCCACCGAATATCGATTATGAAACATCCAATACTGGTGTGTAATAGCTAAATTTTCATTATGCAAACCACATTACATGTAAATTGGTTTTTTTGTTTGCGTAATAAATGAAAATATATAGAGAATTTATGTGTGAAACGATATGAAAGGATTAAAGTTTAATTTGAAAGAAAATATTGACTATCTCTAAGTGTATAATGTTGAACAATGAAAAAAAAAAATATTTTAAATAACGTGGTAACTCGCAAATACAAGATGGGGCAAGCCAACTCACATAGTAGTAGGCCTATGTTAGATATTGGATATTTATAGATCTTCATTATGCCTACACATGTGTGTCTACATGCTTCTGGTGCTAACGTTATTACGTTCTCCATGGGAATGAGCCTAACCCATCTCATTACCCCATACTTGAGCCGTGTCCTTCGTTGATAGATGCTCAAACCCCATTGTAAGTACATGTAAAACGGTACATATTGTTTAAAATCAACAACGAAACTCGGATTCTCCCCCACCCTGGGGACCCGCAGCGGCCGCAGTGTTGGGGGGGGGGGCTCGATGATCAGTTGAGTTATTGCTCGTGCGCATGTTCTGTACGCACGGGGCCAGCGGCTTAACGACTCATCCGAAGGACGAGTTAGAGTTTCTTACCAAGGAATTTACAAAGCACGTAGGCCTAATTGCAGGTCTCGAACTCGGTCCGTTTTCAACCAAAGGACAGTCTCTTTCCGTTGCGCTACCTCGCCCTCTTCCCCATATTATGCCTATGGCGTAAGTGCTAGCAGTCATAACTTCAAAATCCCTTCTCTTACCATGTGCCTAAAATTAGCAGGGGCGTGTTCTTTATGCCTTATTAGTGCCTATCACTACAATCTAATTGCATTATGTTTGGGCTTATGGACATGTAAATGTAATCAAGAGCTGTCCAACTGTATGAAATTGTCATCAAATGGATGCATAAATAATATATATATATATA